AAGAAGGGCTTAAGGCCCGAAACGTTGCTAAATAAATATCTTGAAGAGTTTCATTCAACAAGAAAACACAGAAGATATTAAACCATGAAACTCAGGAATCCTATGATACTATCAGAACTATGTGCTAACGCTGAACACAGCAACTAGAATCAAATGAAATAGTATAAAGCCTTGAGAGCCCCAAACTTCTCCAATTATCTTTTGAAACAATTTGTATCGAAACAACAGTGTTGGCATATGATGTCGCCAACGTGTTCAAGGGACTGTGGGTGCGTTATGATACTGTCCTTCTTGAACAAACAACGAGCCTCTCTGCCACTAATAGTTTCGTTGATTCTTGTTGTAAGGCTTTTTTGTGGTGGCGGATTTTGTGTATTTTTTCACTAGACTGAGCTTTCATTGTGCTAAGCTAGTCATTTTGTTCCTAGGTCCTTGTGTCGCCGGTGTTGTTGGTTTGAGTATGCCTCGCTACTGCCTCTTCGGAGACACTGTTAACACTTCATCTCGAATGGAGAGCAATGGAAGAGGTGAGCTTCCTCAAAGTGATGAGCTCTCTTCAGTATACGGTCGCCGAAACATTCAGCGACACTTTCAAAGACGGAAATACCCACACTTATTCTTCAAATGAATTATGGAGAAATTTTATAAAAACGCTTCGTTTAGCTGGTCACATTCATCTATCAAAAGAAGCGCACGACTTGCTCGTGAAAGAATACCAAGCCGATTATGAAACCCAACCGAGAGGAGAAGTCATTATAAAGGTAGTTACAATCTTCAATATTTTTTAATTTTCCAGATGTAAAGATGAAATTAACGAATCCTAAAAATTAGCAAAAGTCGCAATGGTTGGTTTTTTATGCGATTGTGTTATCCGCCCGTATCCTAATAATTTTCTATGAAATTGCAAAAACTCGTGGGAGTTATACCTACAAAATTTTAGGGAAAAGGAGTGATGGAAACCTTCTGGCTGACTGGTCGTCGTGGTGCGTTCACAACTGCTCCTTCCGAGGATGAGCGTGTAGAAAAGAGGGCCGAACAAGGTAACGAGCAACATATCAACAAACAAGGAAGTGAAGAGACGGTCGACGAGATCCCACCGCTAGACCTAAATAGCGATTCGATAGAAGCTATTCCCGTAGATCCTGTGCACAACATTACATAAGAGCCCTCATAGACCCCTTATTATTTGACTCCTGCTGATCTGTACATTATACGCGTACATAGTATAATAAAGATGTTTTCGCCTTACGATTTTGATAATTTATGCAATAATTGCGCAAAGGGCAACTTGTATTTCATTAGTTTCAATATATAATTGAAAAAGTCGACTATTTGGAGCAGTAGTGTGGCCTGCGGGACTGTTCAACAGCATTATGTTTATTGAATGTGAGGAAACGTGCGGAAGCCAAACAGTAATTACTTGATAAAAAGCCGTTACGCAGCTATAGCCTACAATTCAGTAGCGGCGGTGTAGCCCTTGTACATTCTGAAGAACGCCGAAGTTGGGGGGGGAGGGGGAGGGAGGGGGGACGCATTCGGGTCGCTGGGGTTCATCGGGAGTACCCAAAAGCCCCAAAAGTGTTGTCGCTAATTTGATGGAGCGGACGAAAAACAGCAAAGTACCCAGGTGTAGGGAAGGCAAAATACAAAATATTAAAGCAATTGGTTAGCAACATCAATAGTTAGCATGAATTCGAGTACGTAGATGACTAAATAATTCATCTCAAGCAAATTCGTGCAACCTTTCCAAATAGACAAACATCGCTTGCATGGACAAAAGTCATTAGGCTGCGTTTATACTTTGCGGCAGCGTAGCGTAGCGCTTCCAGCGTACGCCAGCGGCAGTGCCGGGGAGAGGATGCATATCGATCTAGCGTTCCCAGCGTCACCAGCAGCGGTAAACGCTAGCGTTTCTTCTCCAGCGTTTCACCAGCGTTTTGCTAGCGTTTGCAGCGGCAGGGGAGTAGAGACTATGGGAGAGCTGGAGGGTACAAAACACATCGATTGCGCGTCTCTCACTCGCCCTCAGTCTCTACAATACACATCGATTCCGCGTCTCTGACGGCCACATAGTCTCTACCATACACATCGATTCTGCGTCTCTGACGGCCACATAGTCTCTACTATACACATCGACTCCGCGTCTCTGACGGCCACATAGTCTCTACACAAATACAACGATTGTCGCGATCTCTACACATAGTCTCTACTCCCCTGCCGCTGCAAACGCCAGCAAAACGCTGGTGAAACGCTGGAGAAACGCTGGCGTACGCTAGCGTTACGCTGGTGACGCTGGGAGCGCTAGATCGATATCACCGTTCGCCGACGCTGCCGCTGGCGTACGCTGGAAGCGCTGTGCTACGCTGCAGCAAAGTATAAACGCAGCCTAACGTCAGAAGTTACATCTTTCCACCACCTCTACATAGGGAGTGGCAAATCACGGCACACACTCGGACCAAATCGATCTATGATACAAATTCACAAATTATCTTAGACTCAGTTCACGGGAATATGTGTTTTGAAGGCATATTGAAGTTCGCGAATGAGTATCCTTACAATGGCACAGAAGGAGTCGAGCTTTTGAGTGGCTCAGAATGTCGCCCAAGGGTGACCCATCTAAAATATTTTCTGAACTGGCGGGTCTTCAAAACTGTAGAGTTTGTTGAAAAGAGGAAATATTGGGCGTTCTTATGGCGCTTTCAGTTTTGCAAAAGATTGCTCTTGAAAGAAGTTATTCTCGTCTGAAGCATAAAAACCCGCTCGCGATTCACCACTAACGCGTCCGTAACCCATCCGAAATATTTCACGAACGGGGAAAGTTCAGATTGCGAGTAGGTAGAAAACGCAACAGTAGAGACATTGCTTCTACGTGCCGCCTTCCGTTTCCTCAAAACCCCCTCACCTAAACAGCTATCACCCCCAGAAAAGCCCTGCGATTTCCACCCGGTCAACAGATCTGCTCCACCGCTAATTTGCCATGGAATCATAACGCGGCCACAAGCGCTTGCGAGTCGTTACGTATCTAATCCTTCTCGTCAGAGCAAACAATTAGAGCCGGAAGGGAGGGGGTCGTACCAGGATCCTTTTCCGGGAGAGGAGTCGTACTAACACCGCCATTTCACACATCACGATGCTGCACACCATGCACGTGAGCCACACTTTTGCATTGAACACCGCATACGAAGAAATTCTGGTGTTTTCGCGTGCGTCTTCTATATCTTGCATTTGTATGAGGCATAGAGGTGAAAGGATAAAGTCTTCGCCGCTGATCGATGCTTTTGGGATGCGGCACGCATTCTACTTCCATTCAGAATCGTAGTGGCTTATTGAATGCGATGTGGCCTATACAATGACTTGCGGGGCCAGCCGATGTACAAGTCAGTGTTTTATCCTCCCAGACAAATCTGGTACCGTTTT